GGAATGCGAACTCGTCATGATGCGCGGCGACGGCGGCGTCGATATCTATCGACGCCGCCGCCCCACTTGTCTTCCTTCTCGGAAAGTTCGCGACCGAGTCTTTAGACTCGCTCGCGCGGCGCGCATTGACATATATTGACTGTGCGCATCCCCATGTCGAGCGCAGCTCGAAGTGCCGGCTGGCCTCTTCTTGAGTGCCCTGACGATTTGTGGTCATCCCGACTACGGAATAACACGTGTTCTGTCGCCCCGTTCCGGAGGAATGCCGACAGGAGTGATTTGTTACTTGTGCAATCCGTGCAGGCACACACCCTCACAGACTGCACTACGCCGCGAGGGTTCTTGCTGACCTCACGCCGTTAAGATAGCTGCGTGCGCTGGCACTCAGACAAGACACAACCAGGACACCCCTCTCCCGGGGGGCCGCTGGCGTCCGGGTCCCCAAACAGCCCGAGGGCCGTGTTGGTGCTTCCACTAGTGCAGTTCGAGCGCAGTGCGCCTCACAGGCTGACACCGCACACCGTCTCGAACTGTCCTCGACGCCGCCAGTGGCGGGCCGACGGCAGGGTAGGGGCCGCAGGCCGTGCTTCGAGGCGCAGGCTCTACTGCTCATTCATGGCTCCGCACTCCGCTCCGCGCGGCGTGTTGAGTATGGCTCACACCAGCAGCCAGACGGCTGCTGGTGGATGCTCGCGCTCCCCTCGCGCCGTCCTTGGCACGAGAGGGCGGGTTGATTTGCGAGTGCACCACGCAATGCCAGCTGGCCCTGCGGGTGCACTTCGCCCATGGCCGTGTGCTCATCTGGCGGCACTGCTTGCTGCATGGCCATGTAAAGACGCCATTTTTGCACGGTGCTTTGCGCAAAGCATTACGTATGGGGCCACCTGCGGCTGGGGCGGTCCTCGCATTCCAGCTGGCGTGGACGACTGCTGTCCTCCTGTTGGCTGCTGGCTCCTCGTTCGAAGCTGAGCAGGCTGGTCCTCGCTGCAAAGCCTGCGGTTTGCATGTATTGGACTGGCGGCGCGGTGTTGCACGCACTGCGGCGCGGATCCGTTTGGCCCATTGCGCCCGTCCGTAGGACGGGCGCGGTCGGTCGTGGCCTGGCGGCGGCACTCGCCTCCGGCCTGGCCAGCGTCAAAGCGAGTCGCCCAGGCTCCCTGCTGGGCGGCTCGCGTCGTGTTTGTAACGGTTCGAAGAAGCTCTTTGTTCACGGTTGCACCGTGAACAGGAGATTGGTCGAGGCTATGCACAAGCGATGCGCGTAGACTCCGTGTGGCTCTGGGCTGCAGCCTGTTAGAGAGCCGAGTCGCTTTAATAGCACGGCCGGGCACGGTCGTACCTCGCGTGCCCTCTGTGCGAAGAATTTTACAGCGCGAACAAAAAAGAATCTCCCGGCCGGGGTGGGGCGGGGCGCGCGCGGGTGGCGGCGGGTGTGCGGGATGTCTGTGGGCCCGAGAGCGATATGCCATGTCCGCCTTGCTTTGTTTCCTAACATCGAAGGCTAAGCTCAAAACGGTCTCTCTTTCGCTACGTGTTCAACGACGTTGAACAGTGTTCAACCACGGCGCTGTTCACAGCGCGCGCGGACAGCCGATCTGAGAGTCTCCCTCCGCTGGACTTTTGTAAAGCATGCTTGTGGCAAGTTATGGACGCTAGTATCGACCTCAGAGACCCAAACCCGAATTAATAATTAAGGCTCAAAGTATGGTTGAACAACCGTTGAACAAACAGGTTGCACAACGAAAAGAGACTAGTGCGACCGCTAGACGGCGGTTCCCGCCGGCCCCAAGGCTGCCCAGCCCCAGTACCACACCGGCCACATACACCGTGGCGCTGGAGTCGGTCAGTGAGGCACTAGACGGGCTACGGAACCATGCGCGCGCCGGCCGGACAGGCTGCGCGCAGGGGCCGCGCCGCCTCGATTTCGCACCTCCGCTCCGCGGCCGGCTGAGGGGCTAGCTCGCCCGGCGACAAGCCCAGCCATCGCCCAGCGCCCCGTATCGACGGGGGGCACGCAAAAAAACCGCACCTACGACTAGGGTGAGCCCGTGAGGGCGTCGGTGTGGGCCGCGGGCGGGCTGCCAGGAGGGCGCGGGTGGGAGCATGGGAGATGCACCACCGCTCGACGAAGACGCGCCCGACGAAGCCCTGCTTGCGGAGGATGGTCGATCCTCACCAACTAGTGTCGGGCGTGTGCGAAAAAGAGCGCAAATCGGAGCTCAACTCGCGCGCGGCTGGGAAAGGGGTGTGGCACTTCTCCGAAGGCGCCTCGCGAGGAGCTGCTGCTGCCCCCAAACGCGCTCGGGCAGCACGTCGGCGCGCCTGCGGGGTTGGGGAGGTGAAACTATGCTTGCTGCACGCGCATCCCGCACCACCCCCACGTCCGCGCGCACCATGCCGCCATCCCACCTCACAGCCAAGCGCCATCGCCGTCGGACGCGGCGACGCCGAGCGGTGGCCTCGCAGACGACGAGCGCGATGAGGCCGCCGCGCCGCCGGGGTGGCCGGCGCGTGCCAGCCGCTGGCCCGTCCAGCGTGGCGGGACCGGCTCGCCCATCCTGGCCCGCGCGCTTGCCGACGCGAGAAGATCGCGCGAGAGGGCAAAATGTGGCAAAATCGCCCTGTTTCCCCACCCTTCACGGCGACTTCACGTCGGAACGAGTCGGATCGACGACTCGCCGCCTGCACCAGCGTGTGCGCCTTGCAATTCTATACAGAATCGATACTTGGTACGTCCTCTCAATCGCTCGTGGAGAGGAGCTACGGCCATTCTCCACTTGTGTGCAACGACGTTGAACACTGTTCAACGTCGTTGAACACGATCGAGTAACCGAAAAGAAATCTTGATTGCACTTCTTCTCGACGGGCGTTCGTCGGGCCGTGCCTGGTCGGCGGGGCTCGGGTGAGGTGAGCGGGCGGGAGTCGCATCTGAGTGTCGCGGGCAGTGGTGAGTGTGGGGCGGCAAGCGACGGGCGGGTCCGCGACCTTTTGAGCGGCCGTGAGCCGGCCGAGAGGCCAGTTATGGTTGCCTGAGCGCCCTCTCGGCGAGAACAAACGGGCTGAGCATCGGTCAGAGCGTGAGTGAGAGGGAGGTGGTCGTGCGCTCACTTTGTCGGCCGCTCGCGAGGTAATCACTGTGTGTGAGGCGCGAGGGAGGCGAGCGGGCGGGCGCGCCGGTGGTCGGGTACCGCGCGCTGCGGCTGCAGCGAGCCGGCGGCTGGCGCGGCGAAGGCGGGCAGCGTCGCGGGTGGGTGGCGCCACCGGCTCGAGGTGGGGTCCTGAGGTGGCTTCAGCCTGGTCTGCTCGAGCGGCACGCCAGCCGCGCCTGCGAACAGCCACCTGTGGGCGGTCACCGGGGTGGCGGTCAAGCTCGCGACGGGGTGGATCTGGTGCTTCTAGTATCACTGGTGGGCTGGGTGTGCAGCAGTAGCGCTCAAAAAGAGGCAAAAAAAGCGTGTGCTGTTTTGAGTGTCAGCTCTCTCGGCGCACCCCCGTCCTCGGGCCCCTCGAAAAGCTGGCTGGTGGTCGCGCGGGGCGCGTCGGCGCCGCTCCAACTGGTTCGGCACCTCGGCTGGGTCCATCAGCACGAGGCCTGCCCCGTCGGGTAGCCCCGCGAGCGCATGGGCGGCCGGCGCGAGCGGAGGACGACGGGCCTTGATCCGCAGCTTCGCACGAAAATCCCCAAGGCGCCAAGGGGGGGGGGGGGTCAAGTATGGTACCACAAGTGCTCTTGGGAAGTATGGTTGACGGCGGGGCGCATCTGGACGATCTGCACGCCCCTTGTGACGCGAGAGTCTACCACCTCGAGTCAAGTATCTTGATGTGGTCGCCAGTCAAGGAGGAACCTCTTCCCAAGAGCACCACTCTTGGAGCGCCGCCACTACCACCCAGAGCGCTGCAAGCAGCGCCGGGCAATGACGGTTTACCCCCCCCCCCCCCCCCTCGGCACACCCCGGCAGCCAATGTGTGACGGCTCGAACCCGCTAAGCCATCCAACCTGCAACCATCCCGCAAGCGGGACGGCCCGCCACTCGAACCCGCAAGCGGGCGTGCGAACCGCGAGCGGCTCGCACTCGTGACACGCAGGCGTCCGACAGCAATCGTGAGCCGTACTGCTACGCATATGCAAGGAGGCCCATATGCATACGCATCACATCGGCGCCACAGAGGGCGCGGCGGTCGCGGTGGCCGGCGCCACAGAGGGCGCGGCGGTCGCGGTGGCCGGCGCCACAGAGGGCGCGGTGGTCGCGGTGGCCGGCGCCACAGATGGCGCGGTGGTCGCGGTGGCCGGCGCCAGAGGGCGCGGTGGTCGCCGACGCCACGCCGTTCACGTTTTGCGAAAAAGAAACCCCACCTAACTTGCCCCCGCGCACGGTTTCTTCTTTCCGAAGTCTGGACGGCGCTCATGCTGTGCCTCTTTTGGTAAAGAATTCTACAAATACAAGCCCCTCTCACAGCAGACTGGCACGAACTAGCACCACAAAGAAAGAAAGAAAAAAGACACCCGACGGGAGGGTCAGGAGGACGGCACGCCGCCACCTACCACAGGGATTTTAAAAATAAATAGAGCACACATCTCCTGGAGAGACTGGGCGACAACCCGACGGGCAGACCCCGGGCCCCGCTCGGAGGGCGTGCACCACACAGCACATACGGCTTTTTATCTACAAACAAACTCTCTCTCATATCTCTGTGTGTGTACGGCTCTATCGCTGAGACTGGGCCTGTGGGTGGGCCGAGTGGTTCCTGCGTCGTGCGTGTGAGTGTCAAACTCTTAATAGAGATCGCATCTAGCCCTCCACAACCCTCAACATTTTCTTCGGGGCGCGCTCCGCGCGCGGCGCTCCGCGCCTCACTCCTTGAGCGTCATAGGCGCTGGCCCGCACATGTTCTGCAGCTTGGTCGCCACACCATCACCGCCACACCGGCACGCCGCCACGCGCACGCCATATTCCCCCACGCGCGGCCCACGCAACAAACCTCGCTCCGTCCGCGGCGTGGACGGGCCGAGCCAGCCGCACTTGCACAGCTTGCAAGTTGCGACCAAGCTCCACCCTCACTTGCACAGTTGCAAGTCGCGACCACATCCCTCACTTGCACAGCCCCGCCGGCGCGAGGACCGCCGCGACGCTGCCCATCGCCGTCAGCTGCTGCGCCACCTGCCTGCGCAGCGAGCGGCGAGCCTGCGCCCTCGCCGACCGCACCGCCCCTTCCGCGCGGCACAAGTCGACGTGGCGCCCGAGGAGGCGGCGGAGCCGCAGCCTCGCCCTCCGCCGCCGCTCCGCCTCGGCCGCCGCCTTCGCCGCCTCGGCCGCCGCCCTCCGCCCCTCCCTCTCTGCGCACAGCTCCTCGCGCAGCGCGGCGGTCGCCTCCTCGAGCGAGGCGACCCGGCGCGTCGCCGCCGCAAGCTCCTCCTCGCTGCCTGCGCACCTGTAAAGGTGCAGCCGAGATGCAGCCGAGATACAGCCGAGATAGCTCCTCCTCGCTGCTCGCGCGCCTGCGCTGCGACGCCTGCAGGTCTCTCTCCACCGCCGCGCACCGTCCACGCACAGACGCGAGGTCGTCCGACGCGGCGGCGGCGGTCGCCTGCGTCGGCACCAGAGTCGGAGCCGGTCAGTCGAATACGCGTCTCTCGAGTGCTAGTGGGAGTAGAGTGGGAGCAGAAGGAGCTGTGTCTCAGTAGCGGTGGCCGCCTCCGACACGGCCAGCTCCATCCCGAGCAGGTCGACGAGCGCGTCCTCCTCAGCACGCGCAGCCGCGCTGGCCGCCTCCCACCCCGCCGACGCCGCCTGCGCCGCCGCCTGCGTCGCCGCCACCGACCCGACCGAACCGTCCGGCGCGTCAAACGAGCGGATCGCCTCGCGCAGCAGCGCCTTGGCGTCCGAGCCGACCAGCTGCCCGTCGAGCCGCACCTGCAGCGCCTTGAGCGCCGCCTCGGCCGCCTCGGCGCGCTGGAGCGCCTGCGGCAGCGCGCGGAGCGCCGCCTCGAGCTTCTGCGCCCGCTGCGCCGCCTCGCGCGCTGCGGAGCGCTCGCGCGTGATCTCGGCGGCGTGCAGCTGCGCCGCCTCCCGGAGCGCCATCTCCAGGACGTCGCCGTCGCCTAAGTCGGCCATGTCAATGCGCAGCTCGTGCTTTTGCGGCACAGCTCGCCGGCACACGCCCAGCCACCAGCCCGCGCTGGTGCGCGGCGTTTTTCTTTTTTTAGCGCCCCTTCCTTTAGAGGGCCTCGTGTAGCCCTCCTTTTGGTATAAATATAACCCCTTCCTTTCTCAGAGCACGCTGTGCTCTCTCCCGTTGCTTCATGTTGCTGGCTACTCTGGAGTCCTCCTGGCTGCTCTCCGCCCACCAGCCGGCCACAGGCCGTCAGTCTCACCGGCCGGCGTTGGGGCCTTTCTCCTTCTTCTCACCCCCCCCACCGCTCCGGTCTTTCGTTTTCGCAACAATCCCCTCCCCGCCTTGTTCCGAATCCAGCCCTTGCGCGTGTACATGTCTGTGTATGGCGTCCGCCGCCCGCAAGCGCGCCCGCGCCGGCGGCGGCGGTGAGGCGGACGAGCCCGTGCCGGTCGCGGACGGCTTCGAGGCGCCCATCTTTGGCGCGCGCGTGTACGGCCAGGTCGCCACGCTGGCGCTCGAGGGCGAGGACAGCCCTCTGGGGTCGGTTGGCGTCGCGAGCGACCACGCGGGCGCCTGGTACGTCTCGACCAAGGACTCGCTGCTGCACGTCTCGGCGGCCGGGCGCGTGCGCCGTGTGGCAGCCTTGCCGGCAGCATTGCTGCCAGCCAACAGCATTGCTGCCAGCCCAGACGGGAGCGCGGCGTTTGTGGCAGACTACGACAACAACGCGATTCGGAGGGTGGAGGTTGCGACTGGTGCTGTGACGACGCTCGCGGGCAGCGGCATAAAGGGCAGCGCCGACGGCGTGGGTGACGCGGCGGAGTTCGACGAACCAGCTGGCATCGCCATCAGCCCCGGCGGCGGCGCGCTGTTTGTGGCGGACTTCCACAGCCACAAGATCCGGCGGGTTGAGGTGGCGACTGGCGCGGTGACCACGCTCGTGGGCAGCGGCGAGGCTGGCGACGCGGACGGCGTGGGCGACGCGGCGGAGTTCTGCAACCCGACTGGCATCGCCATCAGCCCAGACGGCGGCGCATTGTTTGTGGCGGACAGCGACAGCAGCAAGATCCGGCGGGTTGAGGTGGCGACAGGTGAGGTGACCACGCTCGCGGGCAGCGGCGAGGAAGGCGACGCGGATGGCGTGGGCGACGCGGCGGAGTTCTGCCACCCCTACGGAGTCGCCATCAGCCCAGACGGCTGCGCGTTGTTTGTGGCGGACCAATGCAACGACAAGATCCGGCGGGTTGAGGTGTCGACTGGCGAGGTGACGACGGTCGCGGGCAGCGGCACCAGGGGCAGCGCCGATGGCGTGGGCGACGCGGCGGAGTTCGAAGGCCCAGCTGGCATCGCCAGCAGCCCCGACGGCAGCACGCTGTTGGTTGCCTCGGACGATGGCCTTCGCCAGGTCTGCGTGGCGGCGCCTCCTCCGCCTCCCTCCTTTGCCCCGATCGTCGTTCCGCCTTCGACCCTTGGAGCTGACTTCGCAAAGACGCGGGGCGACGCTTCCCTCCCGGAGGGGAAAGTCACCTTCCTGGTCGGCGACGACGAGGAGCGCATCGAGCACGTGAGCAAGAACAACCTCTGCGCCCGGTCCCCGGTCTTTCGGACCATGTTTGGCATCGGCATGAAGGAGCGCGACGCCGCCGAGGTCACGGTGTCCCACACCGACCTCGTCAGCTTCACCGCCCTCATCGACTACCTCCTCTCCGACAAGTTCGACCTCGGCGAGGAGGAGGGCAGGGCGCAGCGCGCGCTCGACCTGCGGGAGCTGGCGCAGATGTACCAGGTGCCGCGCCTCGAGCTGCTCTGCGCGCAGGCGCTGCAGGAGAGCGTCGCGCCGGCGACCGCCGTGCCGCTGCTCGAGGCGGCGCACACGATGAGCGACGGGCGCCTCCTCGCGCAGTGCCGCCGCTTCGTGGCCGACCACGCCGCCGAGGTGCGGGCGAGCGGCGGCGTGGAGCAGCTGCGCGACCTGGGCGTGGCTAAGGGGCTGCTCGGCGACGCGCTCGACCAGGTGGCGGAGCTCAAGGGGACGGTGGCGGCGCTGAACGGCACGCAGGGCTGAGGTGCGATTTTGTGGCCCACGCGCGACGCCCAGAGAGCGCCGCGAAGAGCGCCGTAGGTGGCGCCCGTCGGGGTGCGCCGCCGACCGGCGCCGCCGGGCGCCGCGGGGGAGACGACATTGTTTTGTTTACAGTGGCATGTGAGGACGTGGTTTGTTTTGAGTCTTACTCAGGTCTGACTACGTGCGTACGACTTCAGATACAGTGTCGAGTGATAGGAGCGCCATCTCCAGGACATCGCCGTCGCCTAAGTCGGCCATGTCAATGCCCAGCTCAAAGAAAGAAAGAAAAAGACCCCCCGGCGATTCGTTTTCTTTATCCCAGTGCCACGCTTCGACGACCGCGCGCTCCGTCGACTGACCGCGCCGTTGCCCCACCGACGGGCGCGGCTGCCAATGCTCGCCACTCTCGCCGCGCAGCATGTCCGCCGAGCCGCCGCGCGCCGAGCACTCCACGGCCGCGGCGCAGGCAGCGCGGTGGCAACTGCGCCAGCGACGAGGCAGTCGGTAATGGGAGCTCCTGCACCGCTCTATGGCCGGCGTAGAGGCTTTCACAAATATCTCAACCCGCTGCGGTATATCCACATCTTCAACCCGCTGCTGTTTGCCTTCTCCCACATAATGCCCAAGCTGATCACGCCGTTCTACAATACCTTTGGGATTCCCGGCCTGCTCGCGCTGCCCTGGGTTCGTCTTAGATGCGATTGGACGCCGGGAGAGAGCGAGACACAGTCTTCAGTGAGCTCGCAGCCACCAGCGGAGGCCTCTCCAATGGCAGTGGATGGCAGCGTCTTTCTCCAGCCTCTGCCGCCCGCAACAGGTCACCCTCACCCTGGAGAAGGTCTCGTACGACACCCTCGCCGCCGCCCGAGGGTACGACCTCGAGGCGGAGCACGAGGCGAAGGTGGCCGCGGCGGGCGGGACCCTGCACGGAGGCTTCCCCTCGGGAGGCGCCGCGCTGCCGAACTGCTCCCTCATCCCTGTGCGGGGCGAGCAGGACCGGCTCATCCTCTCCTGGCTCGGCGACCGGCCGAGGGGCGAGCCAGTCCCCACTCCGGCGGAGGGACAGGAGCCAGCCCGTGGCACCTGAGAGACTACCGCTGAGACAGGCGTGTCGCATCGCCGCCGGTGTCGCGGTGTGATTCGGTGTGGGTTGCATGTCGCTGGTGGGGGGGGAGGTCTGATGTTGAATGTAAGGAAAGACGAGACGAAGCACTTCTGGAGCACTTGGAGGTAGGTAGGTAGAAAGGTGAAGAACAGCCAGGCTCGGACTGGACACCAACGCGCAACGCGGTATGGGTGGACAGACAGATGATGACGACACGCACGAGCGACACACAGACACAAACAGGCTCACAAGACACACAGCCAGCGGGCTGCCACACACACTTGGACTGGACGTTTTTTTATTTCGTGCGTGGAGGTCGCGCGTGCCAGCAGGGCAGCGGCAAAAAGCTGCCGCGAGAGAGCCCGCAGGACCGACCCCGCGCCCTTGTGTCCGATGCAGCACTTCCAGAAGCCCGAGAATGCGCTGCGGCGCGCGGACGAGCTCTACGCCGTCGGCCAGAAGGAGCCCGCGCTCGTGGCGCTCCACGACGTGCTCTCGTCGAAGCGGCACCGCACGTGGCAGCCGATGATGGAGGAGGTGATGAAGCGGTTCCTCACCATCTGCGTGGAGATGCGCCGCGGCAAGGCCTCCAAGGACGGCCTCATCCAGTACCGCATCATCTGCCAGCAGATGAATGTCAACTCGCTCGAGGTGCGGAGAGCGGCGCTGCGCGACAGCCTAGGAGGGAGAGGCCGAAGGGCGGGCGGCGCTGCTAGCTTGGGACGCTGCGCGGCCGCGGACGTAGTGGCTCATTCGGGGGGGTGGAAGGGGGGGGGGGGTGCAGCGAGCTGCGGCGCTGGACGCTCCGGTGGCGGAGGAGGGGGGAGGGGGGCGTGGGGAAGGGGAGGGGAGGGGGAGAGGAGTCCTCGCGCGATCGCAGTTCCCCACCCACCCAGCATCGCGCCCCCCCCACGCCCCCGCACCCCCCTCGCCCCCCCCTCCCCCCCCCTCCCCCCCCCCTCCCTCACCCCTAGCCCCTCCCCCCCGTCCGGCCAGGCCGTGCTGCGGCACTTCATGCAGCTGGCGCACGAGGGGGCCCAGGCTGCGCTCGAGCTGGCGGAGAAGACGATCTCGGACAAGGTCGCCAACCTCCTCGACTTCGACGACCTCGAGGCGGAGGAGACGCCCGAGTCGCTCATGCTCGCCACGATCGGTGGGGCCGCCCTCTAGAACACCCCCCCCCACACACCCTTGCTGGGCGCCCTCCCCCTTGTCGCGGGAGAGCGTGTGCTCCCCCCCCTCTAGCTTGCTCCCTCGGCTTGCTCCCCCCCCCCCCCCCTTTAAATACAGTAGTGGTTCCTCCCGTGCGCTTTCTCCGAGTCCAGTGCTTCCAAGCGAACTCCTTTCTAATTTGGTCAGCAGTAATCCCCCGCTCCCACTCGGCATAATAG